GGAACGTAGCAGAAATTCAAAATTTTCTACGCATCACCAAGATCAATCTATGGAGTAATCTAGCAACGAGGGGAAGGGGAGTGCATCTACATACCCTTGTAGATCGCTAAGCGGAAGCATTACAAGAATGCGGATGAAGGAGTTGCACTCGTAGCAATTCAGATCACGGTTGATTCCGATCTAAGCGCCGAACAACGGCGCCTCCGCGTTCAACACATGTGCAGCCCGATGACGTCTCCCGTGCCTTGATCCAGCAAGGGGAGAGGGAGAGGTTGGGGAAGACTCCGTCCAGCAGCAGCACGACGGCGTGTTGCTGGTGGAGGAGCGTGGCACTCCAGCAGGGCTTCGCCAAGCACCGCAAGAGACGAGGAGGGAGAGGGGTAGGGCTGCGCCAAGAGGGAGATGTTCTCATATGTATGTCAGCCCCAAACCCCCACTATATATAGGGGAAAGGGAGGGGCTGCACCGCCACCTAGGTTTCCACCCCTAGGGGTGGCGGTCAGCCCTAGATCTCATCTAGGAGGGCGGCCAAGGGGGAGAGAGGGGGGCGCACCACTAGGTGGGCCTTAGGCCCATCCGAGCCTAGGGTTTCCCCCCTTTCCCTTCTCTCTTCGCCTTGGGCCCTGGTGGGGGGGCGCACCATCCCACCTGGGGCTGGTCCCCTCCCACACCTGGCCCAGGCAGCCCTCTGGGGCTGGTGGCCCCACCTGGTGGACCCCCGGGACCTTCCCGGTGGTCCCGGTACGTTACCGATAGCACCCGAAACTTTTCCGGTAACCAAAACAGGACTTCCCATATATAAATATTTACCTTCGGACCATTCCGGAACTCCTCGTGATGTCCGGGATCTCCTCCGGGACTCCGAACAACATTCCTTAACCACGTATATCTATTCCCTATAACCCTAGCGTCATCGAATCTTAAGTGTGTAGACCCTACGGGTTCGGGAACCATGCAGACATGACCGAGACAACTTTCCGGCCAATAACCAACAGCGGGATCCGGATACCCATGTTGTCTCCCACATGTTCCACGATGATCTCATTGGATGAACCACGATGTCAAGGATTCAATCAATCCCGTATGCAATTCCCTTTGTCTAGCGGTATAGTACTTGACCGAGATTCGATCGTCGGTATCCCGATACCTTGTTCAATCTCGTTACAGGCAAGTCTCTTTACTCGTTCCGTAACACATCATCCCGCGATCAAATCCTTGATCACATTGTGCACATTATGATGATGTCCTACTGAGTGGGCCCAGAGATACCTCTCTGTCACACGGAGTGACAAATCCCAGTCTCGATTCGTGCCAACCCAACAGACACATTCGGAGATACCCATAGTGCACCTTTATAGCCACCCAGTTATGTTGTGACGTTTGGTACACCCAAAGCATTCCTGCGGTATCCGGGAGTTGCACAATCTCATGGTCTAAGGAAATGATACTTGACATTAGAAAAGCTTTAGCATACGAACTACACGATCTTGTGCCAGGCTTAGGATTGGGTCTTGTCCATCACATCATTCTCCTAATGATGTGATCCCGTTATCAATGACATCCAATGTCCATGGTCAGGAAACCATGACCATCTATTGATCAACGAGCTAGTCAACTAGAGGCTCACTAGGGACATGTTGTGGTCTATGTATTCACACATGTATTGTAGTTTCCGGTCAATACAATTATAGCATGAATAATAGACAATTATCATGAACAAGGAAATACAATAATAACCATTTTATTATTGCCTCTAGGGCATATTTCCAATAGTATGTAGACACACCCTCCCCCTCGTTGTTGTGCATCTCCTAGATAGATCTTGCGTGAGCGTAGGAATTTTTTGAAATTGCATGCTACATTCCCCAACAGCATGTGCCTTAAATAATATTGTAAATTGTGCCCTTATAAATTTTACCTAAAGTTTACGACATGGGATTCCAACTACCATTTTTTCATGAATTTATAGTGATATTGCCATATTCCATTGTTTTTTTTCAATTTATGGCAATTTACCTCAAGTGATACCAATTTGAACTGCAAGTGTGCTCTAGTTTGGTCCTATGAATTGTGAAAAATCATTGTCACCTTCCAAATTAGTAATGTAGCAATAACCACAAAGAAAGCTCAAATTCCCAACCGTTTTATATGATCAGTCATCCATGCAATTTTGACATCAATCTGAGAAAAATTATACAAAATGAAAAGAAGTATGAAATATTGAAATAATTTTTCATGGAGGACTTTTATGATCAATGGCTTGTGGAAAAATTGATAAACTGGTAATATCACAAATAAAAAGTTAAGTTTCTATTTTCTAGTCCTATACATGACTTTTGTGAAGCAAGTGCCAAAACTAATATTGTAAATAGTGCCCTTACAATTTTAACCTAAAGTATACCACATGGGATTTTCTAATTTTTCATGAATTTTAGAGTGATATTGCAATGTTTCAATGATTTATTGAATTTCTGGCGATTTACATCAAGTAATCAAAATTTGACCTGCAAGTGTGCTCTAGTTTGGTCCAATAAATTCTAAAAAATCATTTTCACCTTCCACATTCGGATTGTAGGCAGTATCCACAAAAAAAACTAAAACTCCCAACCATTTTAAATGATGAGTTCCATGCAATTTTGATAACACTTTGAAAGAAATTATAGAAAATAAAAAAGACTCAAAAATTGAAATCTTTTTGCATGGAGGCCTCTTATGAGCAATTACTTGTGGGAAAAATGATAAAGTGATAATACCACAAACACGAAAAAAAAATCACAAACTAACCTATCTCATATGAAGATCAATGACTTTCAACCAAGATGACCATGCCCATTTTTGGAACTAATAAGGGTGTTACCATTATGATCAATAATTTTAAAAAAATATTAAAGCTTTGGTTAATAAAAAATTATTTTCCATTTTTCTAGTGCCATGCATGACTCTTTGTGTGAAGTAAGTGCCATAAAAAATATTATATATTCTAGAAAAATCATCTTTTAGCTTGCGCATTAGGAACGTAGGAATTATACACAAAGAAAAATGTTAAGGTCCCAACCACTTTATATGATTATTCATTCATGCATTTTTGACAACAATCTGAAAGAAATTACCAAAAGAGAAAAAAGGCTCAAAAATTGAAATTCTTTGGCATGGGGGCATTTTATGTGCACTAGCTTGTGGGAAAAATTATAAACTTGCAATACCATAAACTTAAACAAAAATCACAAAATGTTCTATCTCAGCGGACCATGGGTTGGGTAAAAAAATCTTTCTCCTATTTCCTTGCGCCCACGATGAACTTCTTGTGAAGGAAGGGCAAGAAATTTTATTACATTAGGTTACATAAACATCTTAGATCCACAACATTGGAAGAAATAAACGATAAACACTTCAAACATCAGATAAGGTAGCATCCAACACATAAGGTAGCATACACATCTCGGATCAACAACATTGGAACATCAACGATGAAGATAGCAAACTTCAATACAGTGATAAACAAACTAGATTTCAGTACATGGCAACTCCAATTGCACAACTACGGGCGACCACTCATCCTCCGACTTTGCTTTGGAATCCGAGAGCAGATCTCCTTGCACTTCTCCAGTAAGACAATGTCACCAGCGGAGAACACCTCCAACAGCGTCGTCATCACCGATGGCGGCCGTGGGATTGGGGGGTGGGGAAGGGGGAGGTGCAGGTGGGCTGCTCGGACCGCAGGGGATGCAAAATGAGAGAGAGAGAGAGAGAGAGAGAGACAGAGAGAGAGAGGGGGGAGGGAGGGGGGTTTTTTCGTCCCCTTTTTTTAGACAAATGACCCGGCCGTCCTAAACTGCATTGTTGCCACCTTAGTAACCTAATCTAATACTAGCCGAAATACATGAACATGCAAGTATGAGGGAAACTTCCAGAAACATGCATGTATGCAAAACACGAATATGTGTATTCCGACAGACCACGTGGGGATTAACGTGCGAATACCCAAAACAAACGAACATGATAAGGGCGATGAATAACCGGGGTTTCTTGATCTGATCTTGGAGAGTGCCTCTATTTGTAAGATTTTTATGAGACCTACGATCCACATGTGATATAGATAGGGGTGAGACTTGCATGCTCCCTTCACATGCTCCCATCTATGCTCCCAGGTACGTGGCTTGATTTGATTGGAACAAAATAAAGCCCGGGCCCACCCCGTTAAAATCAGGGGGAGGATGATTAGATTAGAAAGGAAAAAAAGAAAAAAAACAGTCGTAGGATGAAGTGGGAGGACGGACGAGAGCATGGGGAGGGAGCAGGCAAGCCGGATCCCGCAGATAAAACTCTAGAAGCACTCTACTAAAATTAGTTGACTTAACATTATTGGCTATTTTGGGATTTATTTTCTGTCCATGCAAAATGTCGCCACTACTTATCTCTACTACATACTCATCCTTGATCTTTATATAGATGTGGAGATAGTTGTCTCCTTGTAGGGAGCAACAACTCTATTTATAGGACTGTTAATTACAAGACCGACGACTTAATCATGTGACATGTGACACCAACCAAACTCCACAACACTCTGTACTAAAATTAGCGAGCGAGTTATCCTTGATCTTTTGACATAGACTTTTCTTTCAATCAATCAAAAAGAGAAAAGAGAAAGAGAAATCTAACAAATTAAGTCTAGACACGTTTTTAAGTAACCAACAAAACAAATTGGGGTTCGTGGGGAGAGGCGGTTGGTTACCACTCCAGCTGGAAAGGAAGCTGCTGGACGCACGTCTCCATGCACGCTACCTGTCGATCGGACTTGGCGGTTACCAACCAACCGCCAAGAACCTTCCCGGCCTCTCCTCCTCACTCCCCCGCCGCCTATTTCACCACCCCGTCACGCCGGCGCCGCCGCCCAATCCGCTCCTCCACTCGCCACCGCCGCCCTTGCCAACTGCAGTGCGGATGCGCTGCTGGTAGATGAATGAGGAGTGCCATCAAGACTCTACGCACGCGCCACCGTAATGGCAGACCACCAGCAGCAGCAGCAGCAGCAACCGTCGTTCGCATGCACCAACTGCGGCACCGAGCGCGCCGTCGTCTTCTGCTCCGCCGACGGCGCGCGGCTCTGCCTCGAGTGCGACGGCGCCGTGCACCGCGTCAACCATGTCGCGTCCCTCCACCCGCGCGCCCCGATCTGCGACGCCTGCGGCGTCGCCCGCGCCGCGATCCGCTGCCAGATGGCCGGCAACCGGTCCGCGCTCTGCGGCGGCTGCGCCGAGCGCCTGGCCCCGCCGGACGGCGCCTCCGACGTGGAGGAGTACACCGGGTGCCCCTCGCCCGCCGAGATGCTCCGCATCCTCTCCGTCGAGGCCCCCTCGTCGCAGGAGGACTTCGACGCCTGGCTCGCTGAAAAGCTGCCCCAAATCATGCAGGAGGTTCAGGTACCTCAACATCTTAATTTCTCTCAATTTCACTTCTTCTTCTTTTTTTGCTCCGCTATATATATGCAATTGAGAGACACACTCACTCTCCCTGATGATCTTGTCTTGTGTGCCAATTCTTACATGGACAATTTGATTGTGTGGTTCATTAATTGTGTGTGTGTGTGTGATCCAGTGACTAAATTCAGTGAATAGTGCTGAAGAGAGAATGATGACCATACAAAGTGAGTGAGAGTGAGTGAGTGAGTGAGAATGATGACAATACAGAGGCCTTGGTATCACTACATTGTAACAAATAGTATATATATAAGCAAGTGGGGAGTGTGCTATCTGTCTGTGATGTAAAAAACAAGGAAGATCTCTTTCCTGATACATGCATGTGATGGTGGATCGATGATTAATGAAGGGTGCCATGCATACTCACTTCTCCTCTGAAAGATTGCTCAATTTTTGTGGTGCCAAGCTTGGATCTTTGTTTCACTGTGATTGACTGACATGACTGAGATTATCTTCTAATCACTATTGAACGCATATGTTGGTTAGTTTGACTGTATAAACCACACAAAAAAGCCAAAAAAATTCTAGATAAAAATGCAGACACATATGCTACAGAACCAGTGAGAAGCCTGAAGGGTTTCTTTTTTACAAAATGTAGTCATTTGAGCATGAAGAATGTGCTTTTGCAGTCTAGCTTTTTCAAGGAAACACAGGGGACCGCTACATACTTCATATGGGTCGAGGCTAATTGTCAATCTTCCAATTTAAGAATCTGAAAATAACTTTCATTTAGTAATGGAGTATATATATGATAGAGAAATGATGCCTTTCCCTAATTGAGCAAATTGTACAGACATAATTGAATCAACTAAAAACCTTCCATCGTTTCTACCACCCAATTAAAGCCAACAATAGCTAGCTACAAGTGCATGCCAAGATAGCTTTCGCTGCCTCGACGAATCGACGGCTAATTTCGAATGAATATCTCTTTCCTACCTCTTAACTAGGATGGCGCATGAGTACTCATTCTGTTAATTTGTGGTGCACTCTCTCAATACATTCATGGAGGATGAACCTCAGATAGACGATGCGAATGGAACAACAACAATAGTAGGAGATCAAAGGGGTACCAGCAGCAGCAGCTTCGGCTGTGATGATTGGAACAATGCCTGCTCAACTTCTGGGCTTGAGAATACTAATGGACAATTTGTTGGTCATCACTCAGCTGGACCTTCACTCAGTTTTGAGGTACATACATGATACATATTACTAACTCACACTAAATAATTTGGATAATTCATTTGCATTCCGGTTATTCGACACTGACAATACCAACTAATTACCACTTTTCTTGGTATAAATTTCTTGGCAGCAACAGCAGCAGCTGCCACCGTCGATCTGCCACATCCTCTCATCATCATTCTCATGTTATAATCCATCCTCCTCGTGCCAGCCGGTCATGACATCGACTACTCTTCTGCAGTCCATGGGAGGCAACGATCACCATCCATCGCTGCTCCTCGATGGCTTCCCTACATTCTGCCCTTCCATGCCCCTAATGTCGCCGCCGCCACTACCGGAGAACGGCACCGGCTGTCATGATGCCAACCAGCCATCGCAGATGCTGGCAACGGATGAGCAAGTTGCGGCTGCTCATCACCAGCAAGATCCAAGCACCATTGCTAAGAAGCGAGAGGAAAGGGACAGGGCCAAGCAAAGGTACAACGAGAAGAAGAAGAACAGAAAGTAAGTCTGACTTATTATTTTCATTTGACAACTACTTTATTTGCAGATTCCTTTTTCAATTGATGTGAGCTTGAGTTTCAAATTTGAATTTCGATGTATTTTGCAGGTTCTGCAAGCAGATCATGTATGCCTCCCGCAAAGCGAGAGCGGACACACGGAAGCGGGTCAAGGGCAGATTCGCAAAGGCTAGCAACGAACACCAACACATACTACACTCAGATGCAGGATAAATTCACGAGCGACTAGGCCGATTTTTTCGTTCTTTTTCTCTTTTTTTCCATTCGTTTTGCATATAGACAATGCATATATACACAAAAAAGCAAACATTTTTTGTAGTTACATCTTTTTTTCGGATGTAAATAATATCCAAATATTACTGTCGATCATGCCTAGGTAGACCACTCTTTTCCACACCACACAAATACATGCATACCTCTTAATTTGTGGAGAAGGCTGCACCTTAGATCTTAGCCCTTTTCTCAGTTTTCTTTTTGAATTTTCTCTTTCCTTTTTGATAGTTTTGTGCTCATTCTTTTTACAGAGATAGTTTTGGGACACATTCTTTTTAGGGATGTACTTAGAGGACCTGGTACCAAGGTGTAATAATTCAGCCCTTGTCTATGTGTACATACGTTATTATATCTTTGGCCTGAATAAATAGAATAATGGATTTTCATGTGTTGTCAATGCTATGTGATTTTGGTGAATGTATTCTCCGAAAATATTGTTTCTTCAGAAGAGAGACAAGTGACTCACCTGTGTGCATGCCTGCAACTACATTCTCTACTACTTCTCTTCTCTATACTACTTAACAATAATCTAATGTTTCATCTTTCACTCAGTTTTCCCCACAACCCCTTCGTCCAACCTCCAACCCCCATAGATTTTCCTGGTTTTTCATCCCTACTGGTTTTCATCAAACCAATAAACCAGATCAATCTATGGTATAGCAATAAATTCACTTTCTGTAAATAAATCGTTTCTTATGGTAAAACCTGGTACAGGTTAAACATCTTTGATAACCCAATAAATAGCAATAAATTCACTGTCCAGAACAAAATACATGTTAATCATCTCATTTGATAACCCAATAAAGCAGAATAATCATGGACAGATACCTATCTTATCAGTTTAAGAAATAGCTGGAAGATATATACTGTATTTCATAACCAAAACCTAATCCTATTTCCCTATTTGATTTGCATCAAGATTTATCCCATATGGTCCTATTTTTGTGTTGTCAAATATTTGTCCCCCATGGCAACGCATGGGCACATACCTACTGTGAAACAAACAAACATATATGAATTTATCTTGTCACAAATGTTTATATTCTGAAGGTTTAAGAGAACTAAATAAACAAAAATAGGAGCAAAATATACTCATTTGTGATATGTTAAAAAGAAGGAAATTTTTGTTTGTGGTCCTTTTTTTATTTTAAAAAAATGTTCCATCAGATGAAATTTGGTCAACGTTAATGGCCTAGAACACAAAACTATTGACCATAAAGTATTTGGTAGAGGCAGGATTAATTAAATTTGAATAATAGGCCTCATCCTCGACTTTGAAGACAAGTTCGGGGGCTACTGATGGTGTCCTGAACTAGGGGTCCTAGCCTAGTTGGCATGGTCCATTGGCTGAACTGACGGCCCATTAATGAGGATGGACTCTGGAGGCCTCCAACCTATGCATAAAAAGCTTCACCGAGGACTTCACGTGTACTCCAAGATCTACTAGATTCGGCATGTAATCCCTAAATGGCAACCGACCATGTGTAACCCTAGATATCCCTGGTGGCTATATAAACCAGAGGATTTACTCCGTGTTGACACCATATTTTGGCACGGTACAAAAGGCAAATAAGATGCCCTCAAGTGAAAGGGTTTTTAGCATGAAAAATTTCACATCGCCGAGTGGAACAACTTTGATGTTTAGGTTATCATCATCCGAACCCATCTTAGAGGCCGAAATTGTACTCCGAGTGGCAGAATTCAGTGTTCCTAGTGGTTTTCGGCCGATCACTCCATCAAGACGTCCTCGCATGAAGTAGCACTCCAAAGGAATTGTCTTCATCTCATTGAGGCAATCGATTTTCATATATAAATCGTCTCAATCCAAGGTCGTATGCGACCTAGAGAGGCAAATCAAGATCAGGCTGTGATTTCAGTCGGGAAATCCGAGTGAAAAGCTTACCATCTGAGTGAAAACTTGCCGATCGAGTAAGAGATTGCCATCCGAGTGAAAATATAGTTATCCGAAAGTATAGTTATCCGAGTGAAAATAAAGTTATCAGAATGAAACTGAACATGTCCCGAAAGTTTATCAAGATGACCTCGGATGACACTATCCTCTCGTACCCCCCTGGGTCGCCCCAGTGGGCGACCAGGAGGGAAACCCTAGCCGCCGGCGCCCATACTCCCCTGCATCTCCTTCATCCTCTCCACCGCCATCAGCGCCGCCAGGCGAAGCCTGGCCGGCAGGGGCGGCGGCGGGGCTCCCTTCACCTTCGCGCGAATAGGCTGGCGCGGGATGGCCGTTCGAGAGGAGGCGCCGGACTTTTGCGGGGTGCGGCGGCGCTGCAGATGGATCCTGGCCGCAACGTGCGCAGCGCGTTGGTGGTTGGGGTTCATGCTCGCGGCGTGGTGCGGCCGCTGGATCTGGTGGTCGCGTATGCCGTCGGTCTCGGGTCAGATCCTTCTGGATCCGGCGCCTGATCACCGTCGGCCAGCACAGGATGGTGGCTTTCGTCGCTGACCAGGACGGGTCTTCATTGATCTGGCGCCTGGATGGATCTACGCCGGAGGTGTTGAGCCTTATGGTGCTTCCCTCTCTAGAGTTTTCATGTCTTGGCTGCTGCCAGATCTGAAGCAGATGGAGATTGGTGGTACAGGAAGAGGACCGGAAGAAACTTTGGTCGGCTAGCTCGGCCCATCATCGGCGACGGTTGTGACGTCGCTACCCATCTTGAAGGCGAAGTCGAGGTCCCTCCTATCCACCTCCGACCCCTTCCCGGAAGAAAGTCCAAAATCCGTCTTGGATTGGACGGCGGCGGCACCCTTTGCGTCGTAACCTCCATGGAGGCGCCGTCTTGGGAGGCTTGGGCGTTCGGGGGAGAGTTGCTATGAGTGAAGGGCTTCGTGTGTCAAATCCAGCAGCGGCAATTGTGTGGAGGTTGGCAGGAGGAGCGGCATTCTAACCGCGTCAGATGCGTCTGGTAAGAGATGTCAAGTCATGCCTGGACGACAGGTGCTACGCTGAGTCATGCCTAGTCGGCAGGTGCTACCCACGACAGATATTTCAGAGTGTCTGCGTCGGGATGGACGAGCGCAGAGCGGTGGAGCTGTCTAGCGTCGTGGTGGAGTCGACGGTAGCTAGACCATGCAAGGTAGATGCAACAGTACAGCTCTGAAGATGGTTTGGTGGCAGGTGGTTGCGGTGGCCTCATACCGGACAGGCGTCCTGGTTGAGGAGTGCGCCGGACTGGTAGGTGCCCCATACCCGGCAGGCGTCCTACTTGGGACCTCAGGTCGTAGATGTTTAGGTTTGGCTGCGATGTCTGTTTGGTATTAGGCCCAGACTATCAGCGCCCCTTCATCAATTAGATAGGTGTAGCGACATTTGTTGCTTAGAAAGTGGCTTTAGTCTTGCTGCTATATGACTTTGTAAGGTCTTGTGAGAATAATTAATAAAGTGGCAGTATGCATTGCCCAGATGCAGAGGCCGGGGGTCATCCTCCTTTTCTAAAAAAATCAAGATGACCTCGGATGCGTAAGTGTTCAATATGTAAGTTGTTTGTATCGTCAGAACGGTAAACTTTGGTTTTGGAGTCATCATCATCAGAGATAATATACGGCCTGCAAAATCACTATGAGACTCAGACAGTCTAGTCTGCTGCAAGACCGAGTCCGACTGGAAGGTAAAGATGACCTCATAAAGTATTCAAGATGGCCTTCTTTGAAAAAGTGATCAACACAAGAATTGTTAGTCTCGTCGAGACGCACAAATTTGATATTTGGTTCATCTTGATCGGAGGTCATATGCAAGCTCGACGGCTCGCGCAAGGAGGAAGACAGAAGTTTGGGCCAGATTCAGACTGAATCCGAGTTGGACTGGAACTAGGACTCTAGGACGTGGATCTATGTAATTCTTCATGTAAGGAAATCCTAGATGAACCCTTTACTTGTACGGGAAGTCCAGCCACCTCTTATATTTGTTGAGGGTGACGGCCGATTGAACAACACCAATCGAACAAATCAATCTACTACCTTTTCGTGTTCATCTACTTTTTATCTCTCCCTCGTATCTTTCTTTCTCGTTCTTTGTTTGTTCTTCGCGTTGGAGGGCAGCGATTCACGAGGCTCTAGGGGCGAGCGAATCAATCTAGGGCAGCCCATAGCTGCCACACTCCCTGACGGGGTCCCTCCCGGGCGTGTGGGGTTTCCGGTCTTCAAAAGCGCCCGCCGACTATCTTGCGTATCGCGCTGTCGGTCGGGTCTACTTCAATGTGAGCTGCCGTGCATCACCCCTGGCGTCGAGGGTACACGTGACGTGTTCGTGTGTCAACACACTTTTTGGCAACTCCGCTGGGGACGAAGCTTTGGACAGTCTCCAGCCTATTCTTGCTACGAGGAGAGCGTCATCAAGCGGCTGCAATCTACAACGGTAACATGTATCATCAATCTCCTTACGTAGATGCAAATAGCCATTATGTTGATGTTGCTAGATCTTTCAATGGATATGTCATGTTGGCTAGCCCTACAAGCGAAGGCCGACTAGTTATTCCGTTGAAGAAACTTGGAATTTACAAAATCACAACATGCAACTTATTAATCTGAACTTTCGTGCATCGGCAACATCTTTCAATATGCCGATGAACAACAGGATTTGTTCGAGTGATCAATATATGACACCTCATGTACAGGAGGGCGTTTTACAGTTTTATCCATCAACAGCCGGCTCGCGATATGCGGGTTTATCCCCAAACATGCGGATGGACGGGGGAATTGGTCATGCTTCTGTTAGCTATTTGGCTGGTTATCCTCAAACAACATCATATACTACACCTCGTGAGATTAATTGTTCATGGCATATGAAACTAAAAATATTCATGACTCGGATCACCTTGGCGAGTGAATGGAGATTCTGTAGGAGCATATGTGCCTAATATTGTAGGAGAGGAGGTGGCTGTAGCTGCATTAAAAAGTTTAGCCCAAAATAAGAAGATTAGTGC